TTCCTGCTAAGTTTTTGGAATTGAAAAAATTAAATTGAATAAAGTAAAAAAAAATCTAGCAAATTATCTCAAGAAAAAGAAAAAATGTTAAAAAGTCAAAGATCAGGTTCGATCCTGAACATACTGAAAATTTGGTAACAGGGTACTTAGAAATACTATACAATGGTACCCAATTCAGTACTTGATCAGTACCTTTAGGTACCCAATTACTGTGCATTTTCCAGCAGGGTACTTGCCAAAGTACCACTTAAGTACCTGCAAGTACTTTGGTACCCAAAAGTTCCTGTGACATACTGGTATCAGGGTACTTTTTTGGGTACCCTTAACTCAGTATATTCTCTAGGGAGGTCAGATGGAACGGTCCGTATACGGCAGGTAACGGATAAAAAACGGTTTCTTTACGGTATTCAGTAGAATTTCGTTTACGGAGATCTTTTTACGGTGTACTTACATATCAATTACGGAACGTCTGCGAAGCGATTACTGGACAGCGTTTAACGATACGTAAACTAGGCCGTATACGGTCTTGTTTCGTTGAAATATCTCCAAAGTACATCTATACATTTTTACATTCAACAATGTAGAATACAATCGACTTTTGACAGCACTGCGTCTGAGAACTCATTACAGTGTTTCTTCGAATGACTATATTAACGGAATGTATTCGCTCCGTATTCTTTTTCTATTGAATATATCACTCAGCTATTTGTCTCGATGACGTTTCATGATGTATAGTTAGTAACCGTAATAAATTTCATTTAACACCATTAAAAATTCAATGGTGAAATGTTGCTATGATTTTTCTTACTGAAAACATTTTTCTACAGTTTAAATCTGATGTAAGATTCATTTTTCTTATGAATATTTAGCTACTGAAAATCCTTTTAAATCATTTTGTATGTCGATGAATAGCTTTCGTTGAAGCTTATAAGATGGAACAATGCCTATCCTCAAACGTGTCGAATTGCAAAGCTTCATCATCGTGCCCATCGAAATTCTATTATTGAAATGAATGAAAAATAGATAGTCTTTTTAAAGATAATTCATTAGTCAAGTCGTTGGTAAACGGTGAGTCTCATAGATAGTTAAGGCTATCCCATTTTAAAGCTTTCACATTCGCTTCCCCCTGTCCAACAAAAAGCACTTCCAGTATTTGAATTATCTCTTCATTCTAATCAGGGATTGGAGTATATAGAATTTTTAGTTCATATAGAAAAAATCATTTTTTATTTAGGCTAAATCGAAAACTTATGTCAATATATATGTCTATTTTTTTAATCTTTCTTCATTTCTTTTAAAGGAAATGATTTTATTTAGATCGAATCCAACTGCATACAGACGACTTGATTTTCTAGATAAATAATGAATCTCCCTTGCTGATTTTATTTTTTTTTAAATGACTATATATAGATGATTGAAATGGAAGAAAATTTAATGACACATGCAAAACGCGAGATGGTAAACACCTATACTATCTCGAAAGAAGAGAAGGAAAAGAAAAGGATAGACTAAGTGTTTATTAAAAAAAGACCTTTTTTCAATTGAATTCTTTTCAGTTTTAGAATAAAACACTTATTGGAACAAATTTAACAATATGGTTTTAAAGAAACAATTTATTTTAAAAACAATTTCTCTAAAAATATGTTCAAATTTATATTTTATTAATTTATTTCAAAACAAATAATTTATTAATTTTTCATTTAGGATCAAATCAATCATTTTTCGAAACATTAGTATGTTTTTTTCTGAAAATTATTTTTATTTTAATAACATCGAAGAAGAGAATGAAGTATAAATATTTTTTATTTAACAAAAAATTTTTGCCATTTTTCAATTCAAATCTTTACTATGTTAAAAGCAACTTTTTTTTAGATGAAAACGACAATTTTTTTAGATTCATTTACTATATTACATTTTTTTACAATAATTTTCTAAAAACTATTTTGTTTTAAATTCAAAATAAGTGACTCTTTTGAAAATTCTGTTGCGATAAAAAATATTTCTGAGGTAGAGGGATTGAGCTGTGAAGACTCTCTTTTTTTCTGTTAACGAAAACAATGAGATACAATACTAGGTCGTATCGTATGCATTGACATACGATACAAAGCGATCCGTTAACGGACATAGTGTAACGCAACGTATTCGATCAACACACGGTCCGTATTTCTGCGCCAGATAATATGGATCGAAAACGGAACGCATTGAATCCGTATATTGCCGTAAATACTTCGTTTTTACAGGATTTACGGGCTGTTTTCGGATCGTAAACAATACCGTTTTGATTTACCTGGGGATGGAAAAGATTCTATTCAATAAAGTTCTAGAATTTTTAGAATTCGACACGAGAAACTCTTCATAATCGTTTCTATTTAACGTTAATAAATGCCATTTTCAATGACGTTTTCTCTTTATATAAAACCTGTTGTTTATATTACTTGAAAATTATGACGGTTGCACCGTATGTTCTTATTTGAATTAGTGCATTTTCGTTTTATGTTGTTATTTAATTGATAAATATATCTATGAAAGCTAACTTAATATTGAATTTTATATACTTTTCATTGATTGATTTCTCGATTGGTAAATTCAGTTCCACATCCATAGATTCAGTCATAATTTATAAACAAATGAAACGAATTCAAGATGAGCTGATAACATACAAAACCGATTTCAAGCCTTTCTATGTGCCATCGACTTTCTGCGAAGTAGCCGCTGCGATCTCCATTATTCAAATGGTTGCACAAGTCATAGTATGATCAACTTCAATCAATAATTGATTTCGAGAATAATGTGATTCTCTACCTCATACAAATTTTACTCGATCTAACTTGTTCATCTGTTATTTTATTATTTTCTCAATCTATCTTTGTCATTATTAACCAAGAATCATACCGATTTCTCGTAGAGCCTCTATATGATATGTGTCCAGTCTTGAAGCAGAATGGCTTGAAAAATAAAAGTCTATCTTTAATTCAATTATTTCTATCCACTAGTAGTAATAGGAAATGGTTTATTATATGAGATTATTGAATTCGATGGCTAGGGAAGAAAGTCTACGGAGTACAATTATATTCAGTGAGACTAAATAATATCGAGAATCTTGTCTTTCCTTTAAAAAACAATATGCAAAATAGTCGCAAATACATGAAATGATTATTTTCATCATCTTATTATTGGTTTAATGGTGTACTGAAAGGTTTTGAAGAATTTTATTGAAGCAAAGAAAAATGAAATTATTTTTTCTTTTGTGTTCTGTTACGTTAAAGAGAAAGGCTAAAAGTCAAGTCAAGTCTACTAAAGCGATAACATATGCAGAACAATATTGCCGTATTTTTTTTCGTTACATTTGAATACTTGTCTGTTGGCAAATATTTATGATGTCTTTAATAAATCTAAACTTCGTCTACTCGACAAAAATGCACTCGAAAATAGAATAAATGGGAACTTGATACAAACATGGTCGAGAAAATTTTCGATGACTAATATAGCACATACAAGAATTTCGCTAATCTATCAACTAGAAATGTGACTGTTTTTGATCATGCTATCGAACTGTTTTCCTAGTTCATTTCTTTTTAAAAATGACTGAAATTAATGTCTAGATCTATTTATATCAACTGAAATCATTGAATATCTTGTTTTATCCTATTAAATACAGCTGTGACTGCTCCATTGCGAACTACATAGCTAAACTAAACATAAGAGCTAGAATCGAACTGTTACAAGTTTAATGATGGAAAAAAAAATTTAGTAAATCAGCTCTTAGGAAAAGAACTGGACACTGGGTTCAGTTTTCATAAGAAAATATCCGTCATTTTCAAGCATATGACGATTGTATTATTTGTTAATCAAATATTGGAAGATTTTTCTTTCAAAGAACGTTTCGTGTTGTGATAGCCTATTCATCTCCTTAACTACAAACATTGATTGATTCAATGATTATTCGATTATAATTGAGTGAAAAATTCTTTTTCTCAAGTCAATAATTCTCACCATTAGAATCATTAAGTAACCGACTGATTTCTCTTATATTGTGGCGTATTGATACAATCAAATATTGTTCAGTTTTCAGTTGAGATTATAAGAATAACTTTATAATTAGATTTTGTCGAAACTCTCTGAAGTCATTAAGAACACTGGTCGCAATACGAATGCAGGACTTCGGCTGTAAGTTAAATGCCAGAAAATAAAGAAACCTATCGGATTAAAATGAGTTCAATTACTTAAATTATTTTTCTTCGATACTTTCTATGCATAGAATTAATTTCAAGTAAACGTTTTGAATAGTTTCGATGTTGTAAATTTCATAAAGTTTGTCACCTCTAGTAAATAGATTAGAAGTTCTTTGAAAACAATCATCATTGACGTAATTCATTTATTGAAGCTATAAATTATAGTGTATATCAATAATAATAACAATAAAAATTAGCTTAGAGGGTGTGGCTAGCAACTTTACCTTCGGCAAATGCTCTGCTTTTATCTCAAAATGAAAAGATAAATCTGTCAAAATTGGACTAAAATGTAAAAAAAAAATAACTGAGACATCGTGCTAAAAAATGACTTAATGTAATTCAATTAATATCTTTCTAATTATTATTTAAATATTTATTGATATTACTACAATTTCGGAGCCATTTTAAACCATGTTGAGTTTAATTGGATGTTTTTAATATAAACTTTGCAATGTAATATGCAAGATAAGAACAACGATAAATATTTTACGATTATTTGCATCTTTACGACAGATTTGTTTTTTTCTCAATATATCACTGAAATATTCATAAATGTCATCAGAGACTATTGGTTATCTACTATATTGAAGTTTCAAAAGTTCTAAAAAATATTATAAATATCCATTGAATAATGTTGAATGTAAGAGAAAAAAACTCGACCATTAATCGATTGTTCTCTTTTGTCATATCGATTGACATTACTTACTGGTTTTTCTGAATAATATCACAATTAAAAATTTTCATCTTCGTTTTTATACATTTCAAAAAATGACTTTCAAGTTAATTATCTTCTTCTTAATCTTGGGTTATACATTTGGATACAGAATTACTGGTGAAGTGTGTCCACTTCCATCAAGTTTGAAGACAAATTATGATTTCAACTGGAAATCAAAAACAAATGAATGGTCGAATACACAGACTAAAGCAAGCTATATAATGCTTGCATTATCATGGTAAGTTGATTGAATATTTCATAGAAAATAATTATTATAAAGAAATATTTATTCTCTAATATTTGATGAAATCACTCGGATTAAATCTTGTTAAGACAAGAATACATCAATCATATTGTCATGTACAATAATGAACTCCGTAATTTTAATGTGGAACTAACATTATCGAATTTTAGAATATTAAATAGTATCAAAACCCTACTTTGTCAGATTGTTTTTTTGTCGAATCAAAATCTCGATAAACCATCGAGTTTTAGAAAATAAGATGATATTCGATAAAAACTTCATAAGAAAAATGCTTGTTCTCAGTTAGTTTTTGAATTTGAATAAACTTCGATAAAGATTGACATTTATTAATATAAATTAATTGATGTTTTAAGGAGTCCAACATATTGTGCATCACTAACTCAAGCGGCACGTGATAAAAAATTTCAATGTCATCCAAGTAATTCATTCGGTTTGATTGTTCATGGTTTATGGCCTCAAGCATCGAACGCTGGAAATGTTCGAGCTCATCCACGAAATTGTCGTGATGAACCTCAATTGAATGCAACATTTGTTAAAAGATATTTCTGTATTATGCCTGATGAAGATCTCGTTCAAGGAGAATGGGAGAAACATGGTAAATACATTAAGTGATTTATTTTCTTTTGCTTATTTGTTCTCTTCAACTGATCTTTCTTTCGATTAGAATTCGTTTATGAATGCTGATCAGTTCTTTTTTCTTTTATTTTGAAAATTAACATTTTTAGCAGTTAACTAAACGTTTCATCGATCTATTTAAAAAAATCAAGCCAGTCATACTATCTTAAATAGAACTGCAAAAAGAAAAACTATGAGTCTGAACGAAATTCAATACCTTAAAATATTATTTCAGTACATTGATTAGTATTTGTTTCAAATATCAAACTATTCGATATTAAACTTTATTTTCTTACTTTAGGTACTTGCCACTATTCAGAAGCAGTTGATTATTACACAGTGACGGAAGAACTTTTCAAAAGTCTTAAACTACCAGAACACAATCTATTAAATACAGCATCAGCCACAGCAATCAAAAATGAATTTCTTACACTCAACGCACCGGCACTATTTGCATCGGCAATTCGAGTCGATATGGATTCAAAAGGTCGTTTCAAAGAAGTCAAAATATGCTATGATTTACAATATCAATTTGCCGCCTGCACATGAGTTTAATATTTCATAGTGACACACATTAAGTTTCTATTGAAATAATAAAAATAAATTTAAGAAGCATGAAAGATAAGCTTTTGTTGAAATCAACATAATTAAAAGAATGGTCACGACTTACAGATGTATAACTATCGTATTCATAATTGTGAACGGTGATTGTATCTTGTCATTTAATGCGTGGGTATGGGTGTGAGCATCAGTCTGCTCTTCATTCTCACCCACATCCTTTTAGTTCAACTAAAATTGAATCGTCAATTTTATAAGTTCCAATTCCTAGATATAAACATTTTTCGCATAAAATATACATGGTTGTTTGTTCTAGTAGACTTTTTCAAAGACACGACAAAAATTTTCAGTGATTACTAATGACAACGAATCTGAATGGTTCTAGTTTAAAATCTCTTTTATTTTACGAATAATTTATTAGATTAAAACAATTTTTCAAGTGAGTTTCATTTAAATCTTCTTTTGCTCAAATAATCATTATGGAATCTTTGTTAAATTCTTCTGATTATTTTTTCTCTGGACTTGAGTCTTTTTATAAATATAATTTATTGAATCATCTATATTATGTTCTTGTTCGAATCGTTTTAAATATTCATTAAATATTTGCATATAATCTACTTGCACATTATTCATTAGAGTTCTCAATATTTTAAACCTTCCGTTTTTTTTTATTCAATTTTATAAAAACTATTTATTTTTATAGTTTTCACTGAACGTTTTCATCATCGTGTTGTATTAGCAATTGGACATTCGTTTTTATAAAACTATCTAACAAATAACTAACGAAAACGAGTCGAACAACAATAACAATAAATTGCTTTCAGTTGATTTCTTCGAACTTTGCTTACGATGGACGTCCGTATCGAACGTTTAAATGTTCAATATACTTCAATATGATTGTCAGAAATTTTATGTCAAAAGATTCCTCTTTTATACGTATACACATGAATGAACTTTAATATGTCATATTTTCAATTAAAATCCATCTATGACTGATTTAGTATAACCTAAGTAGCAGATTATTTATTATTAATACCATATTTTTAGATAGATATCCTTGACTGACAAGGAGATCTTCATTTATATAGAACTACTAACAGTCATTGGACCATCGGTCGAGAAAAATTTTTCAACATATTTTACATAATGCGTTCTTATTAAGGATACTTTTTCGCTGGTCCTTTCAACTACGAAAAGAGTTACTAATAAGAACATGAGAAGATTTTTTATAAGTTTTATATCGCTCTAACTTTAGTTTGTTAAAATATTAACCTGCAAATAAATACCATTTAGCTGATAAGAATTTCGTAAGTAATATCAAAATTATGAAGTTCGATTGGCAAGGTCAATTAATTGATTTATCCTTTGGATTTTTTTGCTTGTTTTTGGTACTCTGTTCTTACTTGTAACATTCTTTTTACATAAAGTTCTTATTAAAACAAATTCATTTATTCGAAAACTATCACTAATTGTTTGTTTATTTTTCGAATTTCTGGATTACTCAATATAGAAAACATATCTACACTCCAAAATATTCAAACAAAAAAAAAAAATTATTATCATATAAAATGACGTATTAAAAAAATGATATTCTTCGAAAGTTTGGCATAGTTGTTCTTATTGAGAACCTTTACCATATATATATTTCACTTCTACTGTTGTCGAATTTCTCTTTGATTTCATGTAATCTAACACATAATTCGTTCATGATTCATCTTTTGTAGTAGTCCTATGATAGATTTATAACATATGAAAATACACAGAATACACCTATAGATATAGAACGCAAAAACAAACAATGAATACATATTTTTTCGTACTACCTGTACGCCTATACATACTTGCTAGATGCAACATGTGACTACTCATAATTGTATTATTATACGGTACTTTTTTGACTATTCAAAAGGTATACAAAATGAAGAGCATAAATTTCTGTATCCTACTTGATATAAATCAACGATTCAAACGATGAAATTAGTAAAAATATGCTTAGGTAGAGAATCAGAAATTGATGAAGAATATTTCTATTGAATTTTTTTCAATAAATTCAGTTGTTTATCGTTGATCTTTTTTTTCTCATAAAAATAGATCAATTTTCAAGATTTGAAAAATTCTTATATTCTATCTCTCGTAAAAATGTCAAATCTGTTGGAATAGAGTTTCAGCATGAAGAATTCAACCTAGAAATATTGATTATTAATGTATTTGTTAGATTCAATTGTTCACGGTGAATTTTGACAATTTTTTAGGAATCGAAAACTATTCGAAATTTATTCATTATCAAAAATCAACTTCTACTATAAAGAGAGTACGTCATCGGAAAAAATTGACTTTCATTCCCTGAAACATTATTTTAAAAAAAAATCGATATACTATTTCAACTTCTTATATTCTATTTAATCATATGTATAAAAATAAATAATTTATTCCATTAAAAGGTCATAGTCATGGAACACCAAAAACGACACATAATCGAAATAATATACTTATTGTCAAATTACTAGACAAGAACTAAATAATTTTAAAAAAAAAATAATAATACCGATGAAAATAGAATATATACAATCGAATAGTTTTCAATTTAGGATATATTCATTAACTGAAAGATTATTTCGAAGCGATAACAATAAAGAATTACAATCGAAATGGATACACAAATATTATATATATTGTCCAAAGATTGAGTAAAAATTAAAAATATAATAATCTATGAAAATAGATAAAATTGAAAGAATAAAAAAAAAATAGTAAAAATGAGAATAGTCTATATGAAATCAAATTTTATTTCACTTATCTCATATATCCATCAATCGAAAATTCATTATAAAGTAATATGCCAAAAACGAAAAATTATAGAAGAATTTTTTTTTCTTGTTATATGTTATTCGATAGATTTTTATTTTTTTTCTGGATGACCTTTTATAAAAGAAATTCCAAGATACATCTAAGATCCAGAAATTTACAATTCAAGAAAATTCAGAAAATGCAACAAAGATACATAACACAGCTACATGATTGTTTTGAGTACTAGTACAGTAAATGTAATGAAACTGCAAAATGATTGTTCAAAATTCGAACTTCTTTGTCCCTGTGATATTTGAATTATGATTATATTACATACGAATAGCATCTCGGACAACCTTCCTAAACTTAAGTTTTTATGTTCAATCTCAAATAGATCGGTTTGTAAAATTTTCACAAAAGAAAAAAAATTGATGCATTTTTTTCGAAAAAAAAATAAACATAAAAATAAATACTCTTGATCATCTTGATGTACTCTATCGAAGTATATTTAGAAGAAAGAGAAAATTACTCTACTCCAGTTTTCTATTTTGAACATTTTCAGTGGATTAAAATAAATGATATTTGATTTCACATGCACTATTTTCATTAATTTCATATTTTAATTTGTTCATTGACATGTTATTACGTTATAGGAAATTTTATACTCTTCTTAGTGCATACGTTTATTTATATAAAAAAACAAAAAGGTACGAAAATTATATACATGTAAAATATGATATTTCGTATTGCAAATATAAATAGATATTTGTCCTGTATGAAAAGACAATGAATGCATTCTGTTTTTTTTTTATTCGTACGATATCTTTAACTTTATACTACTTAATTGCCTTTACTATGGTTTATATATAGAATCACCTTAAAAGATGAATAGAGAATGAATGTTGTTGTTATTTTTATGTGATGTTTTGCAGATCATGTCAGATAGTTTCAATGGTAGTAGAAATCAACTATATATATATAGGACGTATTTTTGTATAATGCAGCAGTATTTTTTTTACTGAATTGTGAAAATCAAAACCAAAATAATACAAGTAAGTTATTATGAAAGATATTTTTTCAATTCATTTTCTTCTTACATTGAATACAACAATTATAGACGATACAATAGTCATGGGAATGACTACAAAAGAAGATTTGATCAATGTTCATGAGCATAAGCAGGTTGTAGTAGAAGAATTTCGAAAAAAGTAAAGTTGTCGATCGATTGATTTATATACATTGAAAACTACTCTAATATGTTTCTTAGATCATACTGGCAAATCAATCGAAATACAACATTCAATCAACATGGTTACGTTTCTTGTTTATTAACCATTGTGATCTTTGCAGCTTTTATTACATCATCGAACTGTCTACCACGTAAGAATTTGAAAAATATCATAACTAAAGAGCAACGTAAGAAAACTGGTATTGATTTAATTAAAATGATAAAAAAAATTGTTTTCTGTGTCTAGTACTGTTTAGTCTGCTTGCAATAGGAAATCTTATTTTTCTTTTAATCGATATATTATATAAATGATCTGTAAAATTAGACAAATTTGTATATTTTATGTGTCAGTATAATGACAAACAACATTTTTGAAAGTATCATAATAAATGATTTCGTTTGGAAATTTTTTTTTTAATGTAATTACGTAGTTAAATCATCTGATCAATTCATATTGTGATTTAGTTGGTTACTAGTATAGAAATTTTGAATTTTTCGTTATAAATTATCATTAGTCAAATTTCTGGTACACATTACATTTCAAAATTTGCTGATTAGTTTTTTGATAGGCAATTATTTCTATTTACGTAATCGTATAGAGCACAATGACTGATTGATTACTTTCATGATTTTGTTTCACTAGTTTAATTTCATGATTAATCGAAGTCTAGTCTCAACAAAGTTCTTCTTATATTATCAATGTTGCTATTCTAAGATATTTATGGGTTTGCAATAATAATCATATCGTTTCAGAAAGGCAAAACATTCCGATTTGTCGAGTTGGAAATATTATCCTGAATCTAATTTACGGTACTATATTGCCCGATGTACAAAGTCTATTGCTCGACACTCCGATATGCTATTATGGTGGTCCCGTCTTAACTGAAGGTGTCTGTGTCAATATCATAGTAAGTATTTTTACGTTACTTGTTCATTATTTATTCAGCTACATCATTTTATGTACAGTATTATGGAA